AATAAATACTGTGCTTATATTTTCAATATGTAATGTTATTGGTAGTGAAGGGTTTAATATTAGTTGTATTAATAAATCAAATGATTCTGGGTTATAGTGTTTTTAAGAGGTAATTTATTTATTTAACTTTAGCATTGATGTTTTTAATCTTGGATTAAAGTATGCATATTAATATTTATGGTTTATTCAAACATTTTTGGCATTCGAGTACCTATGTTCAATCTGTCTACCTGGCATCTATCCCACTCACACATATATTCACCATGAACATTTCAGAAGTTGTCACTGACATTTCAGAGTTCTTTGGGGAACTTCTTGGCAGTCTAATGATATTTTAACAGTCATTGCCAGGATGAAGATCTAGTACATTTTGAGACAACTAAAATAAAGCAAAATATTACTTTTAAGGTAGTCATTTTGCAAAGTTAAACAGAAAATAATGTATGCCTCCAGTACATCATTCAAGCAACTTTTTTGCAGTGATACTGATCTTACCTTTTAAGTTAATGCAATTGAATGTAGTTTATAGTAAAATATTCAAAGTAGTATTTTTTTTTACATTTATTTAATGTAGGATGAAAAATGCTTCTGTTCTAAGAAGTTCAAATTTCACACATGGTTATCATACCTTTTCTATATTTTACTCACCTCTTCATGTTTAATTTTCTTTGTTTGGAATAATGTATAAACCCATGTAAAAGTCATGCAATGGTTTTGTGAATGTGTTGTTTTGGATCAAAGAAAACTTTGATAATTTGTCTATCTACACCTTCCAAATTGATTGATTAATGCGTGCACGCTTTCCCTAGAAGTAATTCACACCGGAGACAAAGTTTCTGATCAGTGAAAAACCCAGGAATGCTTTATTCCCCGGAGTGGGGGCTCCTTCTTAAAGCAAAAATACGTCACAGTTTAAACATACAGTATACATTCACCAATTGGTTAACAGTCTAAGGGGGTCTTGTCTAAACCCCCCTACAGGATGTAGTGTCATCATTACAGACTTCTGGATACACGATGGGAGGGGGAGTGAGTAGTTTCTTTCAGTTACTTTAACAGTGATTCTCCATTTTGTTACACGTGGCATATAGCTGTTAACTGGCACAAAGGTAGTGGGGGAGGAGTTAGTAAAGGGAGCTGTTAACACAGGAATTTTGGTTACACAAGGTTTGCTTGATGGGAAGGGGGATGCTTAGCACAATGAAGAATTTACATAGGAAACAGCAACTGAACACATTGTAGGGGGGGAAGGGAATATTTACTCTAGCAGCCAGTTTTAACATAGTGAACACAGAATAAATAGACATTAGTAAATAGCCATTTTATTTTAATTCATCTGTCCATAACAGTGTATTTTTTACACTTCAGCATTTTTTAATATTGTACCTTTTCAATATTATCCATATTACATTTTTTAGAATTAAAGATATGAAATTTACTTGCAGGGGTTTGTTAACATCTTCCTACATGACAATCTTATTGCACCAGGCAAAAACAGCATCCTGAAAGATTAAAAAATAATCATCTGGCTATTACTAGGCAAAGATCCCTAATTAGGATAGTAGTAACAAAATGAACAGTGCCAAATGCATAAATATGAGTATCACATAAATAAGTGGATGTATTTATGTGATTCTCATATTTATGTATTTGGTGCAGTTTGTTTTTTACTACTATCCTTTCAATTTTTCTTGCATTGTTGAGGTATCCAAGTTAGATTCCTGCTGCCTTTGAGGTTAGCACTGTATCTTCTTTCTGCTTGTACAAAGTTCCTTAATTACCCAGGGTTTCAAAACAAACGGCCCTGGCACTCTCCCTTACATTTAATTTCTCTTTCACTTTGTCCTGAATCATCACATGTTTGTGATGTAGCACAATGAGAAATCTTTGCAAGGCAAGTGCTCTGAGCAATTGCTGCCTCTTTAGTTTAGCTCCTCTGTGCTAAACAACCAGGAAGTAACAAAGCTGGTTGTCTGATCAATAGCCATGGAGGTGTAACAAGATTAATTTATAAAAGTACCAATCTCTATTGACATCTGTCATGGGAGATGGGACTCCTCATACATGTTCCCTAATTTGTATTTTGTTTCATCTGATATCCCCTGCATTGGAATGGAATCACTACCTGATAATTGTTGCCTTGTGTTCGGCTATCCGTTCCCTTTTGTTCGGTTACCGAACAGACTATGTGTGGTTAACACCTCGTAATCACCGACCACCCCTGGCTGTTAACCACAAACAAGCAATCACCTCAAGTGCTTCCCTGGGTGGCTGCCATTCGCATATATGATTACACGTGCTCACAGGGCTGGCGGCTATCTTGTCTCACGAACGCAGGCAGCGGTACATGGTCATTGACGGCATGGATCTCTGAGTCGGCTACGCGACCTCGCGAACCCCACTGAAACATGAACCTCTTTCCGTTTGACTTCCTGACCAGCTTGTAGAATAGTGTTAGGGAGTATGAAACTACCGAACAAGGGAAGCATTCATTTCTTCAGAGCTAGGGGAGGTATTCATCTGTGTATGCATAGGAACCCCCAAAAATCGACAGCCAGCCTGACCAATTCTCAGAAACTGTTTTGGGCTACAACCTCATGGCCGGTTGGTCAAAACTTTGTTCGAACCTACTTTCTACCAAACCGATCTGAGTGCTTTTTGGTTATGTTGTGCACTCAGATCAGATTTTTGTGGGGTTCCTATGCTGTTTTCGTGTCTTTTTGTGATATGTAAATATAGTATGCAAGTTTTCCTATTTGAGAGATAATTGAGTTATCTTAATTGGAGCTCAATTATCTCTCAAACACAAGGGCATGTGGGAAGGAAACACCTGTGATTTTTTCTTAGAAACCCCATGCTAGGGGGACTGTATAAAAAGCAGAGTGTGGCCTAATAAAGTTCAGATTGCATCTTCTACCCAATACGACTAGTTGCGTCCATTGTATTGGGGAAATTCTACACATCAATACTATTACCACCATATTCAGCACATCTGGAATTAGGACTAGTGCAGGATTGAAGGAATAACAGCAATAAACTAGCGAACCCGTGACACCATCTGTACCTTTTCTGAAAAAAAAAAGGACCCACTTCATACCAAGTTCAGGTTCTCTATATGTGTGAAATTTCCCTTTAAAATATGCAGAAGTGAATGACTTATGGGAAGTAGTATTTGAATTTAATTTGTAATATAATAATATTGCATCCCAATAACAATTAATTTAAATAGCACTTCACATAATGACTCATAGTTTTAAGATGGATTTTAAGAAAATCGTTAAATAATTAAAGGTGTTTTAAGATTTTTTTTTTTAAGCAAATTGTTGACTAATTCCTGGCAGCCACTAAAAGCACTGTATGTACAGTTATGGCAACATATTTTCATTGTGTTTTTATTATGATATATCCTCTGTTGATATTATTATAGTTAGCTTTTTACTTTTTTGTTTTAACATACTTTTTTTTGCTGTTTTTGTGGATACATGTGTTCACTATTTTTCTGCATTCTTATAATTTTTATACACCATTTTTCATATATTTACTATATATTTGTATCCTCATTAGCTATTTCATATTTCTCCTTCTGGACTACAAGCTCCATAATTACCTTTAATTCCTCCTAGCTTAGTTTTAGCAAGGAGTTTCAGCTTGGTTTATTAATTAAATGGTTTTCCCTCCCCACATCTTAGTCTCCCTCCTTCTAGCTATGCTCTTTCTCAGCTGCCCTGGTTTCTATGATGACACATCTTGTGCTAATTATTTGGTGGGGGCCACAACGCCATATTGGTACACCCTGATCTGGGTACACTGTTTACTCGTGCAGAACTCGTTTTGAGTGGGCAGTGGTTCCCTCCACTTCCCCACTCCTTCAAGCTCACAGGACAACTCTATATTTATGTTTTTAAAATTACAGCCCCACTGGCCATACTATTATGGCCGTCAGTGGCCACATTGGCACTCCAATTTAGTATGCTGCAGAAGCATACTCTTTTTAAAGTAATCCAGACCCCTTTTTCTTTTTTTTTCATTGTGCATAGTATAACATGAGAGCTTGCGAAGCCACGATAGCTGTAGCAAGCACAAAATTATCAACATAGGTTACACATACATGGCTATGAATTTGAGCACATATTTTGTTAATTGTTTACAAATAATTGGAAATAATGCGTAGATTAACAGGATAGGCATGTTTTTTTAAGAATGAGAAACAAAACTAAAATTATAGACACAGGCTCAAAATGAGAACATAGTTGTCTATATTTTTACTCTATTTGCACAGGTAAGTAAAAAAGGTGAACAATACTGCAGGTAAACTAAGTAGTAATACCCAGTAATAACTGTGCAGCATCGTTCATAACGATAAGAAGCCTTAAGTAGTGGGACATTTGAGCTCAATGCAGTTAACTGAACAAGGTTTAGTAGTGCGATTAGTGTGCATCCCATGCCCTATGGAGCAGTGGAATAGTAATGGGTCTATATGGTTGCATGTGGGCATGGTGCTACATATGCCTTTGGGTATTTCATAAGGTGGTACGAGGTTGGGACCTCAATGCAGTTAACTGAACAAGGTTTAGTAGTGCGATTAGTGTGCATCCCATGCCCTATGGAGCAGTGGAATAGTAATGGGTCTATATGGTTGCATGTGGGCATGGTGCTACATATGCCTTTGGGTATTTCATAAGGTGGTACGAGGTTGGGACCTCTATGAGGGCTATAGAGGCCGAAAACTCCTGTTGGTGATTTGTAAGCTCTGAGAACTGCTTGGTCGCAAAGGGTAGGGGTTGGGGGAGGGGTGGTCTGGAGTTGATAGGTTTCAGGTCTACAACCTGTCGGTGCTATAGTGTGCATGAGGGGTGGAAAAATAGTGTGCCCAAGAGCACTCTGTGGGTGTAAGTTGGAATTCACAAAGTACCAGAATTTAAGTAACGATCTAACTTGTGAAACATGCAAAACATAGGTATTGTGTATAGCAGGATCTGCAAAAGTCATGGCACTGATACTGCTGAGACGTCTCCTCGCCGGGCTGCTGGCACAAATGGTGTGATCCTATCAGGGTCCCAGGTGGTGAATGCTGTTGCAGGCGCCATGGTAGAATGCCTTGAAGCGTTAGTGGTTAGGCCAAGTTGTTGCAGGATGTCAGCTCTCTCTGATGCATCACGGACCCGTAGCATTCCCGTAGCCCTGGAAATGAGCAGGCATCTCAGGGTGCTCCATTTATTTGGCATCATGTAAAAAAAAAAAAGTGCTCTGTTCTTTAAGGCACTTACAATAGTATAAAGTGCTTAATATAAGGAAAAGGAGCTCTCCATCCTACTTCAATCAGCTAGAAACAAACACTATTTTACAGACTAGTGGGGAGTGTGGAGTGCTAAATAAATTGACAAAACCCTTAAGGGTTAAGGGATATGGATGCTGCAAAATCCCTAAAGGGGACAAATGAAGTCAAATATAGTATAATACAGTTGTGAAGAAGTGGTGAGGATAATTCTTTACTGGAATCACTCACGTGGTTTAGAGCCTTAAGTCTTCAAGTACCGTCATTCTTTCATGAATGTGCACCTGTGTCATGTTACCTGTAATTTCAACCTCTGAGGAGGTCAGTCTCTCTTCCAAAGGGGCTCCTATGCCCAAGCATTTCGGCATTTTCGGCCGTTTTCGCGCCGGCCGCGCTAGCTCCTCCCCCTTTTATGACGCGACGGCCAATCGTCGACGTCATGACGTCATCATCAACGTGAACCGCCAGAAACCGCAATTCCGGACCTTTTGGGGGCGTGGTCATTAATTAAGGTGACAGGGTATTTAAGGGAAGCTTATACTACTACTCATTGCCCTGTCGTGGTTCTAGCTTGCTAGTCACTCAGCGCGTTTCTCTCTTTGTGTTTTTTGGTTTTGACCTGGCTTGTACTTTTGTCCTGCTTCTCTCTCCTCTCCTTAGACCCGGCTTGTTCCTCGCTTACCTGTCCTCCGGCTCCCTTGACCTCGGCTTACCTTTTGACCATTCTTGTCTTGTCTATACGTTAGTCCGGCCATTCTAAGGTCCGGTATACGTACCTCCTCCTGTCCGCACTCTGCGTATTGGATCCCTGTCACGATCCTGACAACCTGCAGCTGTTAGCTGCTGCTCTAGGGCATCAATGTGGGTCTCATGGGTCGCAGTTTTCATCTCCGAGTTGTGGAGACATGCCGAGACACCGTTGATTTCTTTACTGAACTGCCCAATGTCTGTGGCGATGTACTGGCAGAGTTTATCTAGGAGGCTCTGTAGGGTGTCCTCCATTACAGGGGATTTCTGATGGCCGTGAGTGGCTCTGCTTGCTGTAGTGCTTGTAGGGTCATTGCACCCAGGAGGGACTCCTCACTAGATGTATGCAAGGGGCCATCTGACAGAGGTGCCATGTCAGGCCTCTGTGAGTTTTGCGGCCGTCACAGTAATTCGACGATATCCGCCGTTAATGAGGGTTGATCGGGCTTATACTTCTTGTTCTGATGCCCCATGTCTGTAGGTATGGTTGGTACTCAGAATGTGCCTGGTTGGAGGGGTATTCCACAGGTTTCTGGCAAGTTTAGGTTATTTCCACCCGGAGCTCGTGCGACATGCGTCTAGTCAGTATGGCTGCTAGCTCCGCCCCTTTTCATTTTTATTTTATATCAATTATATGTTTGTTTGTTTTTTGTGATTTTAACAACATTTTAAACCATTTTCATGCCACTTTCTAGCCCTCTGCTAGTTATTTAAACATGACAGGTAAATAATACTATACCACTTTGAAAAATATTTTTTGGGCGAATAGCATTAGTGTTTTATGGAATAAATTGGTTTTCTTATTTGTTTCAAATAAAACTAGTTTTTTTTCCTTGGTATGGAATATGCCACCTACGCTGCTTAGAATTGAGCAAAACCTACTTTGCTTTCCTTTTGTGAGTATACCTCCTTTCATCTTTTTATTATTTTATCAATACAGAGAGCACTTTATTTTGTTTTATTTCCATTCTATAGTGTAGCTCCGATCCCCCTGCTGGGTATCTCTCCTGGAAGAGATCACTCTTTAATGTTATATCCCTTATTCCCTCACACATTAGAAGATATTTGATGTTGGGACAATGATAACCTTTATTGGTGACATTGCGACCTTTTAAACACAGACCCCCAAAAGGGGGTCTTCATTAACAATACAGGCAGTCCCTCCCTGGTGTCTTTGTGTCTGGGAGAAGATTTCATTATGTAGGGCTTAAACTAATTATCTCCTGGACACAGAGAGCCCAACATACAAAAAAAAAAAAAAAACATGAAGAAACAACAGTGAACCCACACATGATACATCCCTGGAAAGGTCTGATGCACCCATTATGGCAAAAGAATGCTTAGATCCATTAAGGAGTTGGGGAATCGCCACGGGACCAAATTTTTGACCGGCCATTTGATAAATACTGGACAAAATCGGTTCCACAAGTTTAGTGCAAATGGCCAGTAATTTATTGATGTGAAACAAGGGTGTTCCCCTGTCTTTTTTGGGAGTGATTGTTTCATAGTATCTGTTGTAACTTCCTTCCAAATAGTTCTCTCCTAGACTGAGGGGAAATGGGTGAAATCAAATATGACCGGGAAGTGATACTCATGGTGGCCAAGCCAGAGTTCCAGACAATTACAGTTAGGTCCTGCTGAAGTCCTGACAGCATAATGCAGCTCCCTGGAACTGCAGGCAGGAATGATGGGGAAGAGTGCTTTTGGTGTAGTTCAGGGAGGGAAAGCTAGGGTGAGTGATATAGTCCTTGTAGCGGAACTCGAGCTTGCCGGAGATACCTAGCCGGTGTACAGGGAGCTCCGTCACAGTCCTTTATGAATGTTTTAGGGACACAAGACAGGTACTGCCACACATTCCATATACTAGAGGATTTTCCCTGCTACAATACTGCGCACTGAAGGAGAACACTCTCAAAACCGCTGATCACTAAAGCCTACCTTAATGGCCTTGGAACATCTCCCAACAAAGGACCAAAACCCCCAGCATATCCTTAGGTGGGGATTATACCGTCAACATGCATAAATCTGGAGCTGATCATGAGCTCCTAAAATTTAGAGCACGATATTCTGTTTTAGAAAAAAACAAGTAGCTGGTGGGACCAGTCTGATATGATTCAGATATGTTCTCTCTGTAATGGCACTAGATGAGCTAACACCAGCTCAAGATCTGAGCGGGGACCCAACGAAGGGTGGGCTAATTGAGCTGTTGTCCATTCTCACCTCTCTTGCTACTTGTTTTTTTTCTATATATTTTGTTGTATTTCCATTCCATATACTGGAGGATTTTATCTCCTATATTGTCTCCACAACATTGGGCACTGAAGGAAAACACTCTCATGAATGCTGATCACCAAAATCTACCTCACTGGCCTTGGAACATCTCCCAAAAGGACCAGAACCATCCGCATATCCTTAGGCAAGGATTTTCGATCAAGGCACATATATCTGGAAATGATGACAAGCTTCAGAAATTTGTAAGTGTTATTTCTCTTATATAAACTCACCAGTAACTAAAATACTACACTATATTCCATTTCATTTTCCTATTATCTTCCATATTGTATAACCCCTACTTAGAATTAAGAACAGTCTGAAGGCATTGCTTCCTGAATCCCTTTTTCTATACCTATGACCAGAAGGAAGAGAGACTCCGATTTGGGAAGTTCAAGCCTCCACACGCATATTTGACAAGTGCCAGAAATCTTACCTTTTTATCCATCTGAACTGGCTGAATAAAACTCTGACATGTGACTCGGAAACTGAAATGAAGATATTAAATAAAATATTCTTGAAATGCTCCTCTATGAAGAGCATTTGATTGAATTATCATGGAACAGGCCAATGATGTTAGTGGGGAGGTGAGCAGTGCCAAGGGGGCTTCCGCACTGGATATAAGTAAGATTTTTTTTTTTATATATTGCGGGGCAGGGGATCCTGTATAGAACTAGGGACATGGGCATTATCGTGAAAAGGAATAGTGTTTCTTTACTATTTATTTACATTATGAAAACATGGAAATTAACATTTGCCTTAAATGTGTATTTTGTATTTTCCATTATCAGTTTGGTTTTAATTTTTTCCTTTAATCTGTTATGTTCTCTGATGGATATATTAGCATATTCAGAAGCAAAATAATCATATTTGTTATGTTTTGCTATACTGCAGAAGAATTGAATTCTATGATTGCTATAATTATAGATGGAATTCACTGCAAATATGCAGATTTCCATCTAATAATCAACAAAATCAATGTACTTACATTGTATATTCTAAGTACTAATATAATCAGTGAGAACTAATAATAAGTGAAGAGTCCAGCTAAATATAGACAATAACATATATGTTATAACATGTGAGCTTGTTCACAGAAGATTGTATGGAGATGCAATTGCCCTATGGCAATCACCGAACACATTTTCATGTATTTTGATTAATCTTTATACAAAGACTAGACAGATGAACAGAACGTATGTTATTTAGAATAGAGAGGCACACTAGATATACTGAGTGATCTTAATTGAAAACTAATTTGAAAAAAAAAAATAAGATCTTATATGCTATTAAACTGTAATTTCTTTAAATAGAATATAACAATTAAACCTGCAATATCATAGATTTTTTTTTCCATATTCCATATTTTGGAAGTAAGGATTATGAGCTGTAGAAAATAAATAAAACCCAGTTCAGTCCAAAAATTATTTTATCTATGCGTAGATATTATATAGTTACAATTTTTTTTTTTTAATGTAAAGATGTACAATTAAATCTATCAGATTAATATATATATATATATAAATATCTAAAAAACTATTATTATATGAAACAAATATATTTAATAGATTACTCCATGACCAATTCAGTGATTTGAAGTGGTCATAGTGGTAGAAGCCTGGATGTACATTGTTTGTGCTTGAAACACTGCAAATTCTGAGATATTTTTTATTGTGTGCTGAGGGCTCAGTTTAATTCTGCCTTACGTCAATTCTGTGCATACTTTACATCTCATGTCAGAGCTCACAACATGCTGGCAACATAGACATGATCTTACCATTGCAGACAAAGCACCTGCAAGTGGAAGCTATCTCTCTAAGCCAGCTAAACAATCCAATCACAGGCTTCTTTACGAGAAGCCTGTGAAAGGACCACGCAAGGCCCTCTCTGATGTCAGACAAAGGAGAAAAGTGTTGGGAGCTTCACCCGGCACTGGATTTAAGGTAAGTAATAACATTATTTATTTTGATGTATTTGTTATCATGTTGGACCTAAGAGCAAGGCCCAATAGGGCATTGTTAGCCTATTAAGGCAAACTGTGAAGAAGATTAAAGTAACCCTATAATCTAAATTAGCAAAAGCATCTTAATGATAGTGCAAAATTAATTGTATTTAAAATAATAATATAACTTTTCTTTCTAAATCTAGAATGTAAATATACGATGAAATGGTGAGGCAAACGATAAGAGAACTGTGTGAAGTGAGTGCTCCAACTAAGACAACCATAGCCAGCTTATTAACGGTTGAGAATGCATTAAAAATGTCTGCCTGCTTCATAGATACCAGGAGCTTTATCCCAGCTTTATCCCAGCTGCCCTACTTAATGCTCAACAACTACTTGAAGAAACCAGTTATATTTGAGGTCTATATCCACTAGGGTGCTCCCTGCTGGAAGCTCCAATGGCTCAAACAAAATAGCTTTCCCTTTGTCTGGTAATTTGCAATGTCCTAAACCACTCCCAGACGATATAACAGTTGTAGGTAATTACATACCATGCATGAAAGAAAATATAAGATATAAAGCAGTCTGTACATACAGTGTTTCGCTATGAGATGCTATGCTGCACATGCAGATTTTAACCACTCTGCTGCTGGACGTATAACTCCAGGGTGTCATTATCCATCCCAAAACAAGAGCTCCATGTTGGCTAATATGATTTATGTCTGATTACAGCATGTTGGTGCCAGAGAGCCAATAAAATAATGTAACACTCCATAGTGCCCAGTGTGGAGTATGGATCATTATTATTTAACATACAATTTATATTGTATACGTATGGTATACATAGTATGGTGTATATATATTTAATATGGATATGCTTTTAGCTATATGTTATTACGTCCAAGATGCATTATCTTGATAAGTGCAAAATAATGCATTTTGGACGTAAAAACCCAAGGGCAGAGTACAGAATATTTGATAGAGTCCTAACCTCAACATATGAGGAAAGGGATTTAGGGGTGATTATTTCTGATGACTTAAAGGTAGGCAGACAATGTAATAGAGCAGCAGGAAATGCTAGCAGAATGCTTGGTTGTATAGGGAGAGGTATTAGCAGTAGAAAGAGGGAAGTGCTCATGCCATTGTACAGAACACTGGTGAGACCTCACTTGGAGTATTGTACACAGTACTGGAGACCGTATCTTCAGAAGGATATTGATACCTTAGAGAGGATTCAGAGAAGGGCTGCTAAACTGGTTCATGGATTGCGGGATAAAACTTACCAGGAAAGGTTAGGGGATCTTAACATGTATAGCTTGGAGGAAAGACGAGACAGGGGGGATATGATAGAAACATTTAAATATATAAAGGGAATCAACACAGTAAAGGAGGAGACTATATTTAAAAGAAGAAAAACTACCACAACAAGAGGACATAGTCTTAAATTAGAGGGACAAAGGTTTAAAAATAATATCAGGAAGTATTACTTTACTGAGAGGGTAGTGGATGCATGGAATAGCCTTCCAGCTGAAGTGGTAGATGTTAACACAGTAAAGGAGTTTAAGCATGCGTGGGATAGGCATAAGGCTATCCTAACTATAAGATAAGGCTAGGGACTAATGAAAGTATTTAGAAAATTGGGCAGACTAGATGGGCCGAATGGTTCTTATCTGCCGTCACATTCTATGGTTCTATATATATATATATATATATATATATATATATATATATATATTAATACTGGTCCCCTTTGGTGAAGGAAAGTGATTTCAGCTGAGGAGGATCAGGTTGCATGGAAATCTTGGTTTCAGCTCTGGAACTGTGAAAAACTGAGTTTTCTTAAAACACAGTTGTTTTTTTTTGGTTGGAGTAGCCCTTCAAAGCACATATTTTAAATTCCAAATTCAGATTTTAAAATTTTGTAGAATCTGTTGAATTATTATTATTATTATTATTTTAAATTCAAGCAGTGCTTTTCTTTTATTTATTTGACCTACAAAATGAACAAACATTAAAATAACAGTCATGGAGTAATGAAGCCTTATGTGAGGGGAAGATTATATATGGTGGTATTTTTCTAATATTTCCACATTTGATATAAAATATTCAATACATATAACACAAATTATTTGAGACTCCTCAATGCCTCAATTTAAGACTCACGGACAACTTTATTTCATAATAAATTAAGATAAAATCTTTAATAGTTTAGTTATATTTTGTTATATTTGCATTGCATTAATGATCATACACATATACACTGAACAAAATTATAAATGCAACACTTTTGTTTTTGCCCCCATTTTTCATGAGCTGAACATCAAAGATCTAAAACTTTTTCTATGCACACAAAAGGATTATTTCCCTGAAATATTGTTCACAAATCTGTCTAAATCTGTGTTAGTGAGCACTTCTCCTTTGTTGAGATAATCCATCCACCTTACAGGTGTGGCATATCAAGATGCTGATTAGACAGCATGATTATTGCAAAGTTGTGCCTTAGGCTGGCAGTCAGTATCTGGTGTGACCACCATTTGCCTCACGCAGTGTAACACATCTCCTTTTCATAGAGTTGATCAGGTTGTTGATTGTGGCTTGTGGAATGTTGGTCCACTCTTCTTCAATGGCTGTGCGAAGTTGCTGTTTTTTGGAAGGACCTGGAACATGCTGTCGTATACGCCGATCCAGAGCATCCCAAACATGATTAATAATCGAGTAATTTTGTAAAAATGTAGATTCTGAACAGAAAACATATTCACAGTAAGCCTTTTCTGGTCAAAAAAATGGAGTAAGCCATTTGGAGTGTGACACTGGTGAGACATTTACTGTTTTAGCTGACCCCATCTCTGTATTGATCCATCCTTCTAATAACGCTATAGTAAAAGAAAAATATATACACTACATTTCGATTTCTAGAATGACCTTTGAAGAAAAAGACATTTGATGAAAAGTTATTTGTTGTCTCATTGATTGTATTGGGAATGGATAGATTATTTATAGAATAAAACATCCTTGCCAATTACACTGCACTTCAACATTATTGTTACACTCTAGGCTTGATTTTCCTTTACGATTATTGATTGCATCATACAGATACTAAGATATTCAACTTTGCAGTTTCTGTACTTGATGCAAATGACAATTGTTTTTGGCTTCTTTGAGCTGTATTCAGACACATTTTAACCAATGTGAACTTTCACAGTTTTGCTAATCTTATCCCATAACTCCTAACTCAGTAGGGATTTATTATGTAGTTTAGCACTCAGGAGGCTCATTCATCAAAAAATATGAATGCAAGTACCTCTCAAGCCTATAATAGGTACAGAACAGCTAATATTACCTTACTGATAGTTTACTATATTTTTATAAATGGAGCTATGGGTATAATTGAGCATTTGACAATTTTAACAATTAACTGCCAATATCTGCTATATATTGTTATAATTATTATAATTTTTTTACACACATATAACAAGAATTTTTTTATGTAAACCTGTTGTGTGCCACTCCTGTACAAAACCCAATTTGTATTCAGCTGCATCTTCTGTGCATCTTCTGTGTACAACATTGTCCACTATGTGTGTCTTTGCCACTCTCATGTGAATTACAGTGCAATATAAGAGAAATTACTATATCAGTTTTTACAATTAAAAAACAAAAACATAAATTTACTTCAGAAATGCATAGGGTATGCCATATGTTATATTTTGAGCTGTATTGTACAGCTTTTTTAGCACTAATTTTATTAAGTAGTTTTTATATACAGTTGCAAGAAAAAGTATGTGAACCCTTTGGAATGATATGGATTTCTGCACAAATTGGTCATAAAATGTGATCTGATCACAACAATAGACAATCACAGTCTGCTTAAACTAATAACACACAAAGAATGACCATGTTTTTATTGAACACACCATGTAAACATTCACAGTGCAGGTGGAAAAAGTATGTGAACCCTTGGTTTTAATAAGTGGTTGAACCTCCTTTGGCAGCAATAACTTCAACCAAACGTTTCCTGTAGTTGCAGATCAGACGTGCACAACGGTCAGGAGTAATTCTTGACCATTCCTCTTTACAGAACTGTTTCAGTTCAGCAATATTCTTGGGATGTCTGGTGTGAATCGCTTTCTTGAGGTCATGCCACAGCATCTCAATCGGGTTGAGGTCAGGACTCTGACTGGGCCACTTCAGAAGGCGTATTTTCTTCTGTTTAAGCCATTCTGTTGTTGATTTACTTCTATGCTTTGGGTCATTGTCCTGTTGCAACATCCATCTTCTGTTAAGCTTCAGCTGGTAGACAGATGGCCTTAAGTTCTCCTGCAAAATGTCTTGATAAACTTGGGAATTCATTTTTCCTTCGATGATAGCAATCCGTCCAGGCCCTGACGCAGCAAAGCAGCCCCAAACCATGAGGCCCCACCACCATACGTCACAGTTGGGATGAGGTTTTGATATTGGTGTGCTGTGCCTTTTTCTTTGCCACACATAGTGTTGTGTGTTTCTTCCAAACAACTCAACTTTGGCTTCATCTGTCCACAGAATATTTTGCCAGTACTGCTGTGGAACATCCAGGTGCTCTTGTGCAAACTGTAAACGTGCAGCAATGTTTTGTTTGGACAGCAGTGGCTTCCTCTGTGGTATCCTCCCATGAAATCCATTCTTGTTTAGTGTTTTACGTATTGTAGATTCGCTAACAGGGATGTTAGCATTTGCCAGTGACTTTTGTAAGTCTTTAGCTGACACTCTAGGATTCTTCTTCACCTCATTGAGCAGTCTGTGCTGTGCTCTTGCAGTCATCTTTACAGGACGGCCACTCATAGGGAGAGTAGCAGCAGTGCTGAACTTTCTCCATTTATAGACAATTTGTCTTACCAAGGACTGATGAACAACAAGGATTTAGGAGATACTTTTATAACCCTTTCCAGCTTTATGCAAGTGAACAATTCTTAATCGTAGGTCTTCTGAGAGCTCTTTTGTGCGAGGCATCATTCACATCAGGCAATGCTTCTTGTGAAAAGCAAACCCAGAACTGGTGTGTTTTTTATAGGGCAGGGCAGCTGTAACCAACACCTCCAATCTCATCTCATTGATTGGACTCCAGTTGGCTGACATCTCACTCCAATTAGCTCTTGGAGATGTCATTAGTCTAGGGGTTCACATACTTTTTCCACCTGCACTGTGAATGTTTACATGGTGTGTTCAATAAAAACATGGCAATATTTCATTATTTGTGTTATTAGTTTAAGCAGACTGTGATTGTCTTTTGTTGTGACTTAGATGATGATCAGATCACATTTTATGACCAATTTGTGCAGAAATCCATATCATTCCAAAGGGTTCACATACTTTTTCTTGCAACTGTATTTTACCATCACATTGCAAAAAAAAAAAATTGATTTTGTAAATCTGTGCTGCTATAACAAAAATCACTGAATTGTTTTTAGCTATATCTCTTGAATACAGAATGACCTCTTGCACATACCATTAATAAGTTTTTGTGAATGCTAAAATTATAACCTGCCCGTTGCTGCAATTTATTTTTTAAATTCTTTATTTTATTTGTTCATAGGTTAAAAAAGCTGGTTGCTTTGCCACAACAACTGGAGTAAACATATCATTAGACATATTAGAACATCATTGTGGCATTGAGAGCACTGCAAATCTTTAAATAATGAATCTAGCTGAAACAAGAGGAGATACAGTATACGTGGAAGATGTTAGCTCAGTGTGTAAGTAAGTTGAATGTACTGATTTCACTTTTAAGCAATAAAATAAAAAAATGCTAAGTCAAAGGGAAAAAAAATGAAAGACTTTCAGGAAGCCCCCCCAGGCACATTAGCTCTAAGTCTCGCATATAACAAGCAGAGAGAAGGTTTCATGCTGTAACGCTAAGTGTTTTGTCAGGACACCATGCTAGGGTGAGAGACCAGATTCTCATCGTAGATTCAACCTACACCCCATCGGGGCTGCATAGAGCCCTTCCGTGGGAGTCTCTGAAGCCCTCTTGTGCAAAGCCACATTGTGGTATAGTGATCGGGCAGGTTTGTTGGGGATTGGCTAGAGCAGTGTTGCACCCAATACTTTGGGCACTTGAGGAGATCCAGTGCTGGATTGCAATGGTTCCCTCCATTTTGCCTCTTTGTGTGGGAGTGATGGGTGCTTCTCTCACCGCCACCATCTTGTGGCTCTGTTCACTCCTGAAGCCATGGCCTTCTGCTGCAGATTATTAGGCAGCTGTCGAGGTGAGTGTCTTTCTGACAGTTATAGAGCACTCCAGTGTATCCAGTGCTCAAGGTTTTGCCTTAATTTGTTGAATATTCTGTCCAGTTTGGATGAGAGGTCATGCTTTTCCTCTGAGATGTCTGGTGCTCGTATGACATCTGCCATATTTAATAGGTTGCACGATTTATCAGCATCCTTTCCAATTTCTCACAATATATCATGGAAGCCTCCCAGGGGTGGACCGGAATCACCCTTGCCTGCCCAGTGTGGGGTGGGTGGTGGTAATGGGGCACCTGCTCAATGCAGGCGGTTACTGAGCAGCTTCGGACTGGGAGATCGTCTGCCTCCATAAATGCATCTAATTTGCAAATGTAGACACAATGGGGAGTCTCACGTGATATATTTGTGCTTCATTAAGGTGCCAATTTTTACCATTTATTTAACAGTATGTGGAACTAATCTTTATTTTTTTTTTATTGTTATGCACACATTGTATTGCTGCCTATTATTTTTTAGCCGTCATGTGTGCCGCTGTAATAAAATCCCCCTAACTGTACTCAGCAATATCTCTTGAGTATAACTATATCCCATATGTATATCTTTACAAAGTATCAATCCTTATCCTATTTCTAATCCTCAACCAAACCCTAATCCAAAACCTAACTCTAATTTTAACCATAAACCTGACCCTAATACTAGCCAAAACACTAATCGTATGCCAATCCTAATCACAACCCTAATCCTAAACATAATTCTAATCCCATCCCTAATTTTTGGTATAACAATTCCCTTGCTGATTTCTGTAGTGATATTAGCTAAAACAATATAAGGTGGTATATTGCTGCCATCTACTGACTGCTTTTAGCATGACAGTGGTATATATCTCTGACATACTGAAAATGTAATGCCATTATACTGTGATTGGTGTTGGGCAACTGGCATAAGGCATGCAGGGAAACACTCTCAAGGTCTATACAGACAAGCTGCTAACATAGAATCAGCTATAAGTTATAACAAATATAAGTAAGTAAAGGATAGCCATGAGGGATAATTGTGTCATTGGAACTTAATGAATTAAACTTCTTAAACCTTTTTTAAATTAGTTTAAAATGAGAAGTAGTTTTACTACTGTACAAGATGCCATGACAGGTTTCTGTGAACAGCAGTACATAAAATGCTGTTTATAGGATAAGGGCATCAGTGTTGAAGAAAGTTAAGTTGCTTTCTGAGAGCTCATGTTAGATGTTGCACAGTATGGAAATCTTTAGCAAATTCTAAAGTTTTAAATGATAGCATCCTTGTTTTGTTTTTAAATTTTTTATCGAATTAATTCAGTAAAAAGGGATATTTCTGTATAATATATACACACCAAAAAGTAGAGAGTCAGAACTCAAGGTCTTGTCAGAAAAGAATTTCATAATACGAAGATCCCACAGTCTGTCAACGTTTCAGTTCAATTCAAAGAACTTTCATCAGGACATAGTATAGAATGCACGTTGAGCGACTGTGGGACCTTCGTATTATTAAATTATTTTCTGACAAGATCTTGAGTTCTGACTATCTATTTTTTTGTGTATATTGTGCAGTCGAGCCCTGGGCAAAAAGACTGGGAAGCTGGAGTGCAGGACCTAAGAACAAATATATATATATATATATATATATATATTTTTTTTTTTTCAATATCACTTTAAAAAGAAAACTGATCATATCCAGCCTTTAAAATCTTTTAAATGTTTAGAAATCTAGCACCACTTACATTCAAAGTTGTTTCAAATATTGATTTAAAAATCCCTGTATTGATAGTCCATGGCTAGATCTATGGAACTGAGATAACTTGCACACACTGATTAATTCCTTTCACTAGCTTATCTGCTTTAGTACTGCACCAGCTGAATCTCTCCGATAAGATTAATGGGGAGCCATACAAAGGACACACTATAATCAAGAAAAAAATGAATACTTGACAATCCAATATGAAAATACTGTTGCAACAAATAGTAATAAAACACACTTACATAAACATTTCAAATAGATGTTCTGGTAATTTGGACATATCTATAGATTAATTTTATACGTGCATAGCCCTTCTTAACTGTCTTAACTGTTTTTAACCCCTTAAGGACACATGACATGTGTGACATGTCATGATTCCCTTTTATTCCAGAAGTTTGGTCCTTAAGCGTTTAAAGGAGATGCATTCTATTAAAGTGCAGAAAAAGTCAACTACTAAGAAATTACAGAAAGAAAAACTAATTCATTGTGTAGTCACACTTGTGTCACTAAGTTCAATGTGTGACACACTCCACACACGGTGGTACAGGGGCGTTTTGTCACCTGGTGCAGATCATGTGTTTGGCATCCCCTGCCCCGTCTTTAAAATGTAAAAAACACTTACATATTTTTTAACTGTTTTCAAGAATATTTAAATTTCCTGCACCCACCCTTCACAAAAACCCTGCACCATCCTTTCATAAAATCCATGCTCCTCCCCTTCACCCAGGCCAGCACCCCTTACGTAAAATTCATACACCACCTCATTCACATAAAAACTCGGCATCCTGTTACATAAAATCCATACACCCCACATTCACATAAAAACCCTGAATCCCCTAACATAAAATTCATACACCACCCCCCTTTCACACAAAAACCCTGCATCCCCTTACATAAAATTCATACATCACCCCCCTTTCACATAAAAACCCTGCATCCCCGTACATAAAATTCATACATCACTCCCCCTTCGCATAAAAACCCTGCACCTCCTTCCATAAATAATACACCCTTCCTTCACAAATAAAACCCTGCACCCGCCTTACATAAATAAATACACCCCCATCACAAGTAAAACCCTGCACCCCCTTTATAAATAAATACACCCCCTTCACAAGTAAAACCCTGCACCCCTTCCATAAATGATACATATTCCTTTCAAAAATAAAACTCTGCACCTCCTTCCATAAATAACTACACCCGCATCACAAGTAAAACCCTGCACCCCTTCCATAAATAAATACACCCCATTCACATGCAAACCCCTGCACCCCCTTTCATAAATAAATACACCCCCTTCACAAGTAAAATCCTGCACCCCTCTTCACAAGTAAACCCCTGCACTCCTTTCCATAAATAAATACACCCCCTACACAAGTAAACCCCTGCACACCCTTTCATAAATAAATACACCCCCTACACAAGTAAACCCCTGCACACCCTTCCATAAATAAATACACCTCACTTCACAAGTAAAACCCTGCACCCCTTTCTATAAATAAATACACCCCCCTTTACAAGTAAGCCCCCGCACCCCTTCCATAAATAAATATACCCCCTTCACAAATAAAACCCTGCACCCCTCTCTCGTGAATAAATACACCCCTTTTCACATCAAATTCACACATTCCTCTCCGACCTACATAAAATCCTTGCTGCACCCCTTACATTGTGTACTCACAATTATAGATGACTCGTGGAGAATGCTGCTCTCTGCTGCGGCCTGCATTGCCGCCCTCACATCAGAGCGGATCCTTCTGCTACTGGAGTTCTATGAAGGTGCACAGGCGGCGTCCATCGGTGTGGATGGATGGGGGTGAATAGACACTGGCAGTCATGGCACTTCACCAGTGAGTGGCACCAGGGCTGCTTCCCAGGTGTTTTTTCCGAACTCACCATCCCTCTTTGACAGCAAATGTACACAGTATTTGTGATTCAGCTATGCATCTATAAAAGGATAAATTGAACCTTATATAGTGAAGTACAGCAAAACAGAATAAAATCTGTGCTCGGGAAATGCACTCACAGAAAATATTGAAATTTTCTGCCTTGGGGTGACTCCCCTGGTTAAGGCTTTGGTGCTATCATCTTCTTGATCTCCTTCCACCAGTTATGTGGTTCAGAGCTGGTTAATCAATGAGAAACTCTTCATTGCACTTTAACCCCTTAAGGACACATGACGGAAATATTCCATCATGATTCCCTTTTATTCCAGAAGTTGTGTCCTTAAGGGGTTAAATTGATTTATTGTGTGCAAATTAGCATAAAACAACAAATATAAAAAAATAAGTAAGTAGTTAAAAGGGGTCCAACACATTTCCTCCATGTCTGTGGACTTCCTCAGGGAGACCATAAAATATAATCAGAAAATATAAACATTAAACACCCTTAGGTGAATATGTTGCCTACTTCCCCCTTCCCCAGTGTGCTTTAAATAGGGCTGATCCCTTGCAGTCATTGGTGATTCAGTGAGCGTTTGTCCTTCCCTCCTTTCTAATAGGTCTCAGTATCTCTATTTAGGGTGCTTCCTGTCTCTCCTTCCTGCACAAACTGTGCTGATATGTACAATCAGTGGATTGTTCAATCTTCTCAAAATGCCGATTTACCTTCCAGTGCCATCTTGGATATGTTCCACCTGCTCTTTCCTGTATCCACAATCACACGATCGCACATTCCCGGTCTCCATGCTTTCCAACTCCATGTTGGAATGCATACCAAGCGCTGCCTTCATAGACTTCTTGACAAATTGGCACTACTTAAAGAAAATAGTGTTACACATACACTAAATTTAATGGGTTGAGGAAAATACTGCATTTAGAGTGCTTAAACCTGCAATTGAGAGCAAGGAAGGCATTGGGGTTCCAGATACTATTGATGATGATTCATATAAGCCACATATAATATAAAAGAAAAAAAAGGGATATATGCATAAATATGAAAAAGAAATAATAAATATGAATGAAAGTAAAGATGGAAAAAACAAGAATACAAAAATTAAATAAATATAAAAATAAAATGTATAAAAAATAGAGAACTTAATGAATAAAAAAATGAAAAGAATATGAAAATGTTTATGATTTTTATATGCATGTGTATATACACATATATGTATCTGCAAAGATTATACTACAAAATGATAATAGAAAATATAAATGTATAAACCAATATATCTGGTTCCCCAAAATCACCCCTTATAAAACAATAAACCACAAATGTTACATACACACAAGAAAACATTTACGAAAAACATGAAATGCACTGGAACCAACTAGATCCCAAATGGGAGGCACCCCAAGCCACCAAATTTTAATATTGTCTGTGAGTGCATTTCTGGAGTGCAGATTTTATTTTGTTTTGCTGTACTTCACTATGTATGGTTTATTTTTTTAATTTGTAGATGCATAGCTCAATCCCAAATACTGGGTGTATATTTGCTAACAAAAAATAACATATGTTTGCATTTAGTGCTAAAAGTAATTCATGACTTAAATAGTAAAGTTATTAGTACATGTTATTGCTAGTTAAATATGTTCACACATTTCGAAATATTTTATCACACTGGCTGATCACTCATAAATAAATGTATTCTTTTAATATGCTCTTTTGTCAAAGTAATATTTACTTTACATATTGTAGTCACTATCAGCACAATTGTATTTAATATATTAATACTTGACAATCGAAGCACAAATAAGAAAAACTACAGAGACAGGGCTATTCACTAAAGTGAGAATTCAAAGTGAATTTAAAGTTAATTTCAAATTTAAGGTCAAAGTAGCTCAACTAAAACAATATCTTACATAGCTAAGTTTTCAATTTCAACTACTTTTACCAAAAATTTTAAATGTACTCTTTTCACTTAAGTAAATAATCTGTCAATATTTATTTGAACAAAGTGGTGGGAAAATGCTCTTTTCAGTGTACTGCAAAATATATACATCATACATATGATGCATGTATATATTTTGCAGTACACTGAAAAGAGCACTTTCCCACCACTTTGTCCACGGATCAAGTGAGAAAAATAACCAATATAAGGAAAAAGGAGGAGCAGCTCTAAAGAAAATCTACAGTTATATACTTATAATGTATATTTTTTAACTATATAATAAATGTAATTTGCTCCTTAGTTTTTCCTCTATATTCATACATTCACTGGTCAATATATAGCACTACATGCGGTTGATTAACTAACCAAACACAAGGCAACTCATACAATGATATATGTTTGGAAATCAGGAAAAAAAAAATCTGATAATACTGTAAATTCTTAGTGTGTTCACACTACAAAATCCATACATTGATCAGATGATTTACTATTGTCTGGATTTTGCAATGCAGCTTCTGAAATACAGAGAATATAGACTAGGTTTCAGCATGTCTAGATGGAACTAGAATTTGGAAATTAATCATAAAGATATACAACTAAATATCCTGTACTGTGTTTTTGTTTTTTGCCTCCTCCTTGTGCCATCTCCTGCAACTGCGCTCCAACTCCCTGGTAAACTGTTACACTCACAAATCATGACATTCCTTCCATGGAGTTCTCTGTGAAGTATATGGTCAGGACCTGAGTTACTTGTTCCTTGAGTGCCAGGTCTTTAAATAGGGATTAGTTAAGTAGCGAGGTCCATTCAGTGGGTTTAGACAGGTTCGACTCCAGGTTTATTTGGACCGATCCGTGATCTGACCACTTTGACGCATTGATAGATGACTTGAGAAGATGTGTAAGACCTTCCTGTTGTAAGAAGATGTAGTCTATTCGGGCATAGTGGTGGTGAATTGAGGAATAGTGTGTGTAGGCACTGACTGCAGGGTTTAATGCTCTCCAGCATTCTACAAGGCTCAGCTCTCAGAGCGCGACGTATGTGGCTTGTATATTTCTCTGTGCAATGCTTCTGTGTCCCGTAGAGGAATCTAGAATGGGGTCTTGGGGGACATTGAGATCTCCTCCTACAATCAGATAACCTTCAATTTAGTTAATGTCCTGCGCAGGAACTTGGATTGTCTGTGATTGGATGCGTACAGAGGCGCTAGCCAATATGGTTTGCAATTCTTCCTTTCAAGAAGAGATACCTGCCCTCTGGGTTGCTATTGCTCTCCAGTACCTGAAACTGCAAGCGTGCCGCAAGAAGAATAGCTACACCTGTTTTACACGCAGTGGCATTATTGCTAAAGTAGTTGGTCGGATAGAATTTATTTTTAAGTTGTGCGGTTGCGTGTTCTAAGAAGTGTGTTTCCTAAAGGAATGCTATAGAGATATTTTTCACTTTAAGTTACCTAACCATGTGTGACCTGTGCTCTGGGGCATTCCACCCTGTACAGTTTTTAAGGGTTGGAGGTAAGTCTACTTACTTATCAGTTAGCAGTGGGGCGATCCCAAGCAGCAAGGTCAGGGAGGAAGGAGATAAGGAGGAGAAGAGAAGGAGAAGATGAGATATAGGGGGAAAGAGAACAACCGTTTGTTCACTGAAGATGGTCAACTCCTGTAGTAATTCCTCAAATTTCAGAGGATTACCCGTGTGGCAGTGCAGGCCGCTAAGACCGCGTCCAGAGAGATGGACCCCACCACCAAAAAACCTCACATGGGTGTATGTGGAGAACATGGCTAAACCCCCAGCTGTCTATGCAAATGTAATCTAAGTGTGGTTGTATTGTATGCAAACTCCATTTGTAGCCCAGCGATACAAAGGCACCTGAGAGGTGTAATTGGTGTAGCTAACATAGGTTCAACAAATTAAAATCCCCTAAGAGACTGATAGCAGATAGGCCACCAGTTCATGGCTGTATCTACATCACTTCCCCACCCCAAGTAGATCCACAGTAATATGCATTTCTAGGATAATTGTTCCACCGGTCCATGGCAACACCACCCTACCCCATCTCCTGGGTCCCATCCGAATGTATGAGTCCATGGCTGGAGGGATTATGCTCAGCAATACGTGAATATGAGGTTTAACGCCTCAATGTCTGGTCATGTAGTCGTGTGTTTTTGTGCCGCTTGTGGAGTTCCTTATCATAGAAGTACCCGTATCCAGGCAATTCTAGTGTATGCAACCCCCGTGGGGGTGTAGTCCAAGTGTCTTCCCCCTTTGTCTACCCCCACTCTCCTTCGAGCCCCCACCACCCCCTCCTCCCCTTTTTGCACGTTTTACATAATATCGTTTGTGTCCTGGCTGCTGGACTTTAGGGGTTTACATCGAACAGTCAGTAGTAAAGGCAATGTCAAATTTCAAACAGACGTATATAGTTCTGTTGGGTTTGTACAGTAGATAATATCATTCCCCCCCACCCCCTTTTTAAAATGAATTATTTTTAAAAAATGTTTTATATTGTGGGACTAAGACAGGCCGTCTACAGTATCTAACAGCAGTTGCAGTAATAAAATGGCTTATTAAGGTATATTAGACATCATGATGAAAATTGTCATAGTGGTCAACAGCAGTCTGCTAGTGTATAAACTGTAGTCTGCTGGTTACTAGTCATGAGTATACTAACTATGCACAGGTTAAAGATGAGAAAGACAACCTCGTGTAAGTAAGCCTGCTCCCATGTTTGTGGTAAACAACACATACATGTATAATCAACATTTACCCAATCCCAAGCTCATCCCATGCGGTTCATATATAGGGGGCTGTACTCCGGTGACAATTGGGTTTGCCTGTCTTGCATACACGGGGCCAGAGCCAACCATAGAAAAGGTCTTGTGTAGTAGGCCTGTCACGTGTGATGTGGTGAGGACAACCAATGAGAACAGCGATGCCTTCAATACAAAATACAATTTGTCAATCTAGTCTGAGTCTGTCATCTGTGATACTTGCAAAAGGATGAGTTCCCGCACTGAGGGGCAACACACCTCAGTGCCATAACCCCCTGACCCATCCAAACAGAGGTAATCTAGAACATAAATCAGTTTTATATTGCCCTTAGCACTCCTGGGAAAGAGAAGAAGAAAAAAAAAAAAGAAGAAAGAGAACAACCGTTTGTTCACTGAGGACGGTCAACTCCTGTAGTAATTCTCCCAATTCCGGAGGATTTGTCTCGGTTGGTTGATTCTGGGGGTATAGAGGCAATAGAGGTAAGAAGAGTGGCATGCGGCCATGTAGAGCATCTCCCTCCACCCCCCACCAATGCAAGCACGACATTCACCCCAGGATCTCTATAGCATTGTTAGACACAGTGGCTTGACGGTCACGGGGCCTGTATCCCACATAGACCATGGCAAGGACGGCACTAAGCCCAAGGGTAGGATACCTGTGTGAGGGCAGCTTTGAAGGTGGATGGGCTCCCAGGAGCTGTTTACTCCTCAGGATTTGTTGAGCCCAACAGCCGTCAGGACATGGAACTCGCAGGTGAGGTCCCTCTTCTTCGGTGGAGAGCTCTCTGTGGTCGTGGTCTCAGGTCTAGGGGCCACACAGTTAGCCACACTAACCACCGGTAGTTGTAGTCGACTCAGTAATATCTTCAGGCCAGCAGATGTACAGCCATTTGTTCTGATGTTGTGCAGACAGGCAGAACAGAAACTCCTATCTATACGGGATGTGTCACTCCTGCAAGGCAGCTTTTAATGGTCAAAGTGCCCTTCGGGCCTCAAGAGTGAGGGGTTAGAGGTTGTGATATAGGGCCTCCTGGGCACCTTGGAACTCCCAGGTGGGTCTGTCTCAGGCCTTCTTTGATTTTGAAGGAGCTCAGACAGCAAACAATATCCCTAGGGGCAACATTTTCCATTCTTGGACGCAGTGCTCGGTGAGCCCTCACAAACTTAAAGTTTTCTCGGAGAATGGCCATGAAAAAGCTTGTGAGCAGTCTCTCATCTCCCTCTGATTCCGGCATCCCATGTACTCGAATGTTTCATCTGAGGCCGCAATTGTCCAAATCCTCCACCTGGCATCGCATGCCGCCTTGTCTGGACATCTCGGTATCAGTGGTCGTGGCCCGGTCAGATAGTCTTTTAGGATGTTTCTTGCAGGGTCTTTATGCAGGCTCCATGCGTGGTTATCTCAGTGTGGGCAAGAGCCATTTCCATTCTGATCGTCTCAGTGATCGTGGATGTGAGAGACAGCAGGTCCTGCCTTCTAACCATGGAGGACGATAAGGTGTGTATCTCCTGGCTTCTACTGTCCAAGGTGGCCTGTTCATGGCTCGCCGGGGAGGATGGAGGCAAGGACGCCATATTGGAATCCAGCGCCGCATGACAGGCCCCAGCTGGGGTCTGCATGAATCTGGCCATGGGGCTGGTGTGCTAGCCACTAGTCGAGCCCCTTGGGGTATGGGGAGGTTCCAGTCTCTGTGTTTGACCCATCCAGACTTGTTGTGCGTGTTTCAGTGCATTAGAATTAGAATAATTACAAGCTAATTTTGGGCTGTGTGGAGCAGAGCACACACACTATGGGGCCATTCCAGTTGGAGATCAAGCTACGTCCTTCAACACATATTTTTATTTTATTATTATTATTATGATATTTATAGAGCACCATCAAATTCCGCAGCGCTTTACAATGGGTGGACGAACAGACATGCAGTTGTAACCAGACAAGTTGGACACACAGGAACAGAGGGGTTGAGGGCCCTGCTCAATGAGCTTACATGCTAGAGGGAGTGGGGTAAAATGACACAAAAAGGTAAGGATAGTATTAGACTAGTGACAGTTGCAGAAGAGGAATCAGTCAGGAGCTATTAACAGTTTAATTGATACGCTTTTATGAAGAAGTGGGTTTTTAATGATTTTTTGAAGGAGTGGAGACTGGGTGAGCATCTAACGGAGGAGGGAAGCGAGTTCCACAGGAACGGTGCAGCCCTCGAGAAATCTTGAAGGCGAGCATCAGAGGTGGGAGTACGGACAGAAGATAGACGTAAGTCTTCAGCAGATCGTAAGGGCCTAGACGGGACATACTTGTGTATAAGGGAGGATAGATAGGTGGGAGCAGCATTATGTAGAGATTTGAAAACAAGAACCAGAATTTTAAATTGAGCTCTATATTTTATA